GTTTATTCATTTAATATTAATAATTCATTTTTGGTCTCTATGATTTACTTGTATATATCTATCCTTATAACAGCAAGGAAATTTACATGTACCACCATTTCTCAACACCTAGCAAAATGCCTATCACTTAATAAATATTAGTTGGATGAATTATCAAATTATAGTTGTGGAAATATTAATTACCCTGTACTTTCGTTACTGTAACTGGTGATTGGGTGGTGATGAGACATTCCAATAAATTAACAGGCAGGTCTCTGGAGCCCCCAGGCTCCAATTACATATTCACAGCTAGGACAGAAGACCAACATCAGGAAGGGCTTTGGTAGGTGCAGAACAGATCCACCTATGCAGACCCACCAGGTTCATGTTCATCCAGTCCACTCCTTACCACATCCTTGCCTCCCCTGCTCTTCAGATCCTGGATCTCGGCCATGAGCCTCTGTAACTCCTGGCATGTGTACTTGTACAGCTCGTAGTCTCTGCCAGGGTCCCGCAGATCCACCTCAGCCTCCTCGCTGTAGTATTTACCTTCCTGTGGAGGCAAGGATACAGGCCTTGGGTGGGGAGTAAAAAGTCTCCATGTTGGAACCAGGAACATGGGCCGGGAACAGTAACACTGTAGCCCCAAATCAGGTCTCTAAAGGATCTGGTCTTCAAATCAAATGTTTGTCTTCTTTTCAAAATGGAAAAGGATTCCTCCCTCCCCCTTTTTTTTTTTTTTAAAGATTTTTATTGGGGAATTGGGGGATGGTAACAGCGCTGTCGAATTGGGGGAAGGGGAACAGACAAGTTGCTGTCCTTTTGTTCTTCAGTCTAGTTGTGGAGGACGTTGCTTCACTGGCCCAAGTTGGCACCATCATTGCGTTCTTCCCAGGCAAGGCAGATCAGTCGCCGGCTTCTGGACGGCTGCTTGCAGCGGCTGCTGGCTGCTCACGCTGGCTACTGGCTACACATGGTAGCCCATGGGAACCCACTGCAGCAGGGGCTGCAGCCTACACCATCGCCGGCGACTCACAGCAGCCCAGCTCCAGGTTGAGCTGCTGTTCAGCATCTTAGCTGTAGGGGGCAGTGTCACTAGCCCTCATATGTGGGATCCAAACCGGGCCCTCTGGTGTCCCAAGCCAGCTCTTAACCAACGTGCCACTCGGCCGGCCCTCCCCTTTCTGATTATAAAGTAATGCATGCTAGGTGACAGAGATTCAGAACATGGTGAGGAGTATCAAAACAAAATGAAAAATTGCCTGTAATCTCACCTCCCAGCCTGAAAAAACTCCATTGTTAATACTGTGAGTAAATACAAATTTTATTTTTAAACAAAATGGGATCACATTGTCCATGCTATTTAGTGCAATTTCCCATCACAATAAATATGGATCTCTACAAAATGGCTACATGACAGTCTGCTATATAAACCAGAATTAATTTAACCAAATTCCTAGGGATGGGTGTTTAGATGGTCAGCTATAGTTAATAATACTGTATTATATATTTGAAAGCTACTGACTAGATCTTAAAAGTTCTCATTACAAGAAAAAAATTTTTTGTAATATGTATGGTGATGGGTACTAACTAGACTTACTGTGATCATTTTGCAATATATCAAATAGTGAATCATTTTGTTGTATACCTCAAACTAACATAATGTTATGTCAATCATACCTCAATTAAAAAAGAGTCAGAATCATTGCCCCCAAAAGGATAAGGTTCTTCATTAATCTTAATTTTGTAAATCTGAGCAAAGTATCATTTTCTACTTAAATTTAAGCTGATATATTTTTCTATTCTAGTTTTAAAAACCAACAAAAAACATAACCAATCAAAACAGTTAAGTCATAAATTAGCTTGACAGATTCAAGGATAGGGAAAGAGCAAAAGGAGAAGAACCTACTGACCACAAGAGCTCTCAGGCCACAGCAGAGGTTCTGCAGTCACGTGGTCCTGGTACTGTCTCAGTAGCAGACCAGCGATGCCACATCTCCAAAGCTCAAGTGGCATGCTGCAGATGGACTGCTTTTTTCTGACCACCAGGAACATTGGAGACACACACCATACTAGAATGCATTCTCTATTTAGGTACTAATCACGTCTAATATGGGCTTATTGGTTCTTGGAATGCTGCAGCTAAACCTGATGTGGCTATTTTGTAGAACCAAGTGAATTCTGGGCACCTGGTTAAGCAGAGGTCACCTGGGACCCTCAGCTGCTATAAACACACAGCCAGGTGCTTGGCCACAAGCTGCAATTTCTCAGCAGCATGGCAGCCCTGGATGATCTCACCTGCTCAGTGTCAGAACGATTACGCTTCCCTTCAGATGGAGCTCCATCACTTCGGATCACTTTGGGCTTCCGTTTTTTGCTCGATTCTGATGACATGGTTGTTTGGAGAAGTCAGGCAGAAATAGCAGCGACCTGTTAAGAAAAGTAACTCAACCCTTCAAAGCCTCAGTTGAATCTCTCCGCCTGTCCAAAGTGAACTCATCTTCTCAACTTCTACCTCCTTTAGAAAAACCACCCCACTGAGCAAACTCTTCAGACTGGCATGTAAGCCCATTGCCAGTACTATTGATGGATCAGTGCGTGCTGGACCTTGATCTAAGCACTTTATGGGTATGCTCTCATTTGATCCTTATAACAAACCTTTTTGATAAGAACAAGTACATTTTACAGATGAGAACACTGAGATCAGAAAGGTGAATGACTTGCCCAAGGTCAAACAGTTAGTATGCTAAAGCTTGGGTCCATTTGATGCCACATGAATGCTCTTGAAAACTACATTATTCTGCCTCCTAGTCTTGCCACTATCTCATCTGGCAAGGCCATCAACTCCCTGGTTGACCTTAAAATTGAAAAGAACAGAGCCTACATTTCATGGAGCTTTGGGTCACAAAGCATCCTCCCTCTGTTACCTCTCCTGCTTGTCACCACAGCCCCAAGGTGGGCAGCACTATCTCCCTTACCCCAATGAATCAGTCACCAACAATTATTAAGGAGGCCAACAGCTCATCATAGTGGAGTCAGAGGAGCCCTGAGTTGGAATCTCCACTCTACTAGTTTATGGCCATGGGTCCTGGGACAAGTCAAGTCACTTCCCTTTTCTCTGCGTCTGTTTCCTCACAGATCAAATAAGAATAACAGTTCCTACCTACCTCAGGAGTTGTTGTGGACATTAACACAGGAGTATCTCCACTGGGGAAGGTGATGGACATGATTTGGGAGTGGGGCTTTAGATGGTACATGGGTGATCTTACATAATGTTGAACACCTGAGGAGAAAGTTAATCCCTTTTCAATTAATTTTAGAAACTTCTGATTGCTTCAAGGAGAATGTCTCATTTCCCTTATTTACCTTTAACATCTATGAACACCAATATTCCTTTGTTAACAAAAGGACTGTCTCAGAGATGTAGACTGAAATCTGGCCAGAATTATTAACAATGATCTGTTTCTTATTAAATATACTGATTTTTATCATTACCTTCTGCATATGGCAAGTGAAAGAAATTTTATATTTATGGTAGAGACTTAAATTTTTCTTTTGAAGTAAATTCAAATTTTAAAAGTGACTCGATTAAAAACCTTTAGTAAACAGTCCTACATGGTAGGTTGATTTGGCCAAACCCACAAAGGTGCAACCCGAAAGGCTTAAATGTGGGAAACCCTGACTTTGGCAACACAGTAAAGAGTCTGGCACACCTAAGGGCACAATGAACGCGAACTGTTATCACTATCACCATCACCATCATCGTTGCGTCGTCATCATCTAGACTCTAGAGGCTACAATGTGGGGCCTGACGATGTTGCAGCCAACATTTTCCACATAAGGAAACGGAGCGCGCGGGGCCGAGCGCCCAGGAACCCCGGGGAGTGAGGACGGAGAACCCGGGTCGGACTCCAGCCCGAAGACGCCCTCCGAACAGTCCACACCTCGGTCTTAGAGCGCCCCTCCCCGCCCCGCCACCCGGCCACCCGGCCACCCGGCCACCTTCCCGATCCCCTCCTTACCGCAGAGCGCCTTGAACCTGTCGCGGCTAGCGAACCACTACCCGCGGCGGAGATACTGCAGCCCGCGCACCATAGAGAAGCGGAAGGAAGGAGCGGCCGGCCGGAAGCGAGGCGCGGAGGCCGGAAGTGAAGCGCGAAGGCCAGGGACAGCAGCCGGCGCCGGGTTCCGGCAGCCGCTGGGTGACGTAGGAACAAGGAGACCGCGGCACGTGGGCTTTCGGGGAGGATCCCAACTGCCGGCACTCTCATACTGCCCTCTAACCCTAAGAAACTGAGTGTGCGAGGGCAAAGACTCTTAGGTGCCTCGTTCACTTTCCCCAGCGCCTAAAGTAATGCCCAGCAATTAGACATTTTGCCCAGTTATTTGTTGAGTTTGTCTAAGGCCCGAGATAATACAAGAGAGTAATAGTGCCAAGGTTTGGACGCTTGTGGATCTGGTTCCATAATCTGGAATTTCTTTTTTGGTTTCTAATTTTGATGTTTGATAGTTTGACTCGTTTGCCACTACACAATATAACCTGGATTCTTAACCAGCCACATTCATTCTAACATTCCATACTATAATAGTAAGGGTAGCATGCCAGGGAGGGCATGAACTCCATTTTAACATTTTTCCCCCCACAGGTGCATCAGTAGTTTCCCATTTTAGGCCCAATTTGCCCAAGGCCGAGTCACAACTCTAATGCTGCATTTGACAGCCTCAGTGTTTTCTACCCCTGGTAGAATTGTACATACAGGGAGGGTTCAGGACTTTTGGTGTAAATCCTACTTATCTGGAGGTGGAAACACTTGTGTCCTGGATCCCTGGTTATACAGGACAGTTCCTTCTGCCATGAGGGGAGGCCTTCCCTGAGAGTAGCTCGGGGAGTACAATACGGGGGTGGTGTGTGTGTGTGTGTGTGGGGGGGTAGTGTGTGTAAATCAGCCAGTTGAAACTGGGAAGCTGGCCCTGACTTGAGCACCTGCCAAAGTTCCTTGCAGATGAAGAAAAAACAACGATGGTTTATAGTAAACATTTAATTGCTTCCATCAGAAACTCCAGCACAAGTTTTCCTGAAAGGGAGGCAGAATCAAGCTACCCAGAGGTTCATGAGGTGTGGGGGGTCACTGGGGAGGCTTCCAAAGTCACTCACCCCATTTCACATACCCAGTGGCCCAGTAGAAAGGGTTGGGCTGATAGAATGTGAAGAGGGAGAAAAGGGATGCGGAGGGACGGGAAGTTCAGGCCCCGGCCCGTACCTTTGCCTTCAAGAAGGAAAAGGGAGGACAAGAGATTCTCTGCACAGGCAGGGCTGGAACTACACATTCAAGTTTCCAGCCTAATTATGTATAAACAGATGAGCCTGTCTCCAACTGTCTTGTATTAGGAGCTCCTTCCCAAGTGTTCTGTTGTCACCTCTGTTCTATCTTCCCTATGCTGGATTCCAAGTTCTGCAGTTCAAACCCTCGTTTTGAATTCTAAGTTCTACCTTCTAGGTTCTTGTTCCTGTTCCATTCTGTTTCCTGCCCCTATTCTTTCCAGCTCCCTTTTCCCAGCCTTTCTGGGTGGAAAATGTAGACCTCCTGTTGACTTTGCTAACTTGAGGGTTTTCCCCTTCACATCTTGAAACAGCTCTAGGCTTTTCCCTAGCAAGAGGGACTTGGTTCAGACTGTCCAGCAAGTAGGTGGCCCAGTGGAGACCAGGGAACTCCTGAGAGCCTGGCCTGGTTTGACATCCTCCCTTCCCGCCCCAGCCCTAACCACTGGCAACACTATCTTTTGTGCAACTAAAGCTAAACTGAGGGTTTCTATGGTGACAACAGGACTGGTGGCCTTGAGATGAGGAATCTTAAGGGGAAATGTGAGAAGACAAAAAAGGTTGCTGTTCTTCACTCAGAGAAATTAAAAACTGCCTCCAACCCAGGGGGAGGAGTGGGGAAAGTGGGAAGGGTCTGGGCAGAGCTACAAATGCTCAAAACCCTGTTATCCTTCAGCTCCCCCTTGTCTGAGCTGAGCGCTAGTCCCCAGAGTCCTCCCAAATCTGAGAGAAAACCAAGGCAGCTGGACTGGGAGCTCCTCTGTCCATGGCTGCCCTGAGGGAGAAGGGGAAAGCCGTGGAGCCAACAGCAGCATCACTGAAGAGGTGAGATCTTCAAAGGGATCATGATCCGAGACTCCATGTGTCGCACCAAGGGGACTGTGGAGAGAGAGGCAGAGGTCATGGATGGGGCTGAGGCGAGCCAACTCCAGAAACTGGCTTTAGCAGGGGGAGGAGGCCTGGGATGCTGAGACAGGAAGAGCCCCGCTGCCCTTCTAGAATGGCCCATGGAGAGTGCCAGGTCTTTCAAACTGGGAGAAGAGGGGACTTAGGTGGTGACAAAATGCAGCATTTAAATGTTTTCATAATTATATTTCCCTGTATATGTGAAAAAAAATAACTAGCATAGTAAAAAGTGATTTCACAGATACTATTGCTTATGACAAAGCTAGTTAAAGAGTAAAGTAGGGGGAGTTAAAGAAAATGTGGCAGTAGTATACTGGCAGGACAAAGGCTGTGAGGGGGTCCTCAAGTGGCTGAGGTTTGAAAGAAGCAGATTTAGTCCAACTGCCTCACTTTACAGATGGGGAGGCTGCAGCCCGGAGATCAACCCAAGGTCACCCAGGAGGTCCGACTCTTCCTGCTCAGAGCTATTCACTTGATTGTGCAAATTACCTACAGTTCTTGTTAAAGCGCAAATTCTGATTCAGTGGGTGGGTGGAAGAGGTTGAGATTCAGCATTTCTAAAGGTTCCAGGGGATGCTAATACTACTGTCATTTGGGACCACACTTTGAAGAGAGAGGCTCCGGTAAACTCCTTTACTCTCTGGGAAACACATTCTCCCCTACACCAGTTAAGTGTGGAAGCCCAACTGTTAAGCTGCTCAGGAACAGGCTCCTGTTCATTCTGGCCCCCCAGCCATCCGCCCACTGTAGTCCCTGGCACACAGTGGGGGCTCAGTCAACACCTGCTGATTCCAGGTGGTTCTCAGGGAGCCCAGCAAAGTGGCCAACACCATGAGCAAAAGAACTGGCTCAAAAAATTTTGCTGTGTGCTTCCTCTGTGCCAGAGTCTAGAAGAAGCACTTTTCACAAATTAGCTCCTGGAATCCTCCCTCCAGCCCTCTGAGGCAGGCACTTTCACCATCGCCATCTTACAGATAAGGAAACAGCCTCTGTGAGCTGAACCATGGCTGAGGTCACAGTGCTCGCTCAGCTACCCCTCTGAGGCAAGAACCTCCTGGTTGTGTTATATCATCCCGTAGAGCACTCACTTAGGGACTCTGGATCATGTGGGGTGTGCCACCAGGGTAGAAACCCACTAACTCATTTTTTTAAAGTTCCCCATCACTGAAGGTAATCTAGTGAGGCTAGCTCTCCTTGCAGGGGAGATTCCATCTTCAGATAGGGCTCCTAGCACATGACCTCCAAGGGCCCACGGAGCCTCCAGAGGTGCTTGCTCACCTGTGTAGTAGACATTTTCGTCCCAGCCCCTCTTCCTCCAGGCAGCGTTTCTAGTCTCCTCCCGAGACTGTAGGTCTTTATAGGCTGTGGGAAAGGCATTGCTTCATTCCTTGGGCAGAAGATCTGACCCTGGCCCCAGCATAGGGCCCTCCTCCCACTGCCCCAAACCCTCTTCCTCCCCATGCCTCCAACTGTTAGCAAATACTGTCTGCTTTGATAATCTCATCCGATCAGTACATTTGTTGACAACTCCCAAATTTATATTTTCAGCCCAGAAATCTCCCTCAGGCTCCAGACTCATGTATCTTGCCAACTAAACATCTCCACTTGAATATGTCAGCATCTCAAATGTAACACTTTTGAGGGTCAAAATTACACTCCTAAACACTCCAACCTACTCCTCCTAGGGTCTCAGTAAGCGACACACAGCCGCTCAAGCAGGAGTCTGGGAGTCCTGGAGTCCTCTTTTTTCCCCACACAGACAGTTCATGCAGAAGTCCCATTGGTTCCACCTCCAAACGAATTCACCTGTGGACTTTTTCAGCATTTTCAGTGCCACCACCTTAGGCCAGGCCACTACCTCTCCTGCCTGAAGAAGTGTAACCATCTTCTGATGCCCCAGTGCCTCTCTTGCTTCCCTGCAAAGTGCTCTTAGCAAAGCACATGGCAGCCAGTGGAATCATATTAGATCACACTACAGGTCATGTCATATTGCTTAAAATGCTGCAGCAGCTTCACGTTGCATTTAGAATAAATCCCACCTCATCCCCATGGCCTGCAAGGCCCAGCCTGATCCCCTCACACTCTTCCCCACTGGGCTCCTGTGCACTCCTCAAAACCCTGAAGGCCTTTCTCCATCGCAGGGCCTTTGCACCCAGTTGGAATACCCTTCCCTAGTAATTCACAGCTGGTTCTTCCTCATTCTTTAGCTGGGCTTACATTTTTACCTCCTCAAAGAGGCCTTGTCTATTCTAGCCAGTGTAAGTTTCCATGCTTTTCTTCATCACTTCTCTCTGTCTCTATTATTTGTAATAATCAGAAATTATCTTTTTTGTTAGTTTATGTCTGAGGTGCTGTCTCCCTCTGCTAGAACGTAAGCTCCACAAGGGCACTAATGTATTCGCATTGTCTATGCAGAGTGACAATGGAGAAACGAGGCTAGCAGAGGGCTCTTGGAGGGGCCCCAGCCTACCCCAGAGATGGTGTACAACGTAGAGCTCCCCTATCTGCGAGAAGAAGCCGCCCACTGCCTCCTGGTTCTCCTGCCGGTACTTGATGGCCCGAGCCCTGGGGATGGCAGAAGAGAGTGGGGCAGAGGCCAGGGCCCATATAAAGGGCCCCCTGAGGTGTCCCCAGGCTGATTTCTCAGCCACACCTCAAGGGAGAGACGTGAGGTAGGGCCCCCAGCTCTCAGAGATGGTCAGGGAATGGGGTGACGGAGATGCAGTGCAGCTGCTGACTGGGTGTTCTTCCAGGGGAGGCCTCACAGTTGTCACCTCCTGGTTGGATCCTTCTCCTGGATCTGTGCAGGGCACAGGCTGGTGGGTTCCTGGCCATATGGCCCTGGGAAAGGTGGTCCCCCGGGGCTTTGGCAGGGCAGGTGGGCAAGGTTTCCCCAACCCCACCCCTCCAGCCCCTGGCACTGTCACTTACCAGTTGTTCCCCCACTCAATCATAGTTCCTGGCTGAAAGAGAAGCAAGAGAGGATGGGAATGAGCCCCGCCTCGGATTCCCAGTGTCACAGCTGGGTGGAGATGGGAAACTGTCCTGTCTCCCCAGCTCCAGGGGCCACTTGGTCTCATTCAGGGGCTCTGACTCATACGTGGGTGTGTATGTGTGCACAGGTGTGTACACACCTCTGGGCCCAGAGGGAGAGGCCAGAAGGCCCAGTGAGGGTGCTGGAGCACCTGTAAAGCAGCACTGCACCAGAGATGGTGGGAGCAGGCAGGGATCTGGTGGGAGGGAGGCACCTTGAGCTTGTATGTTCTCAGCTCATAGATGTTGGGGCCCGCTCTGGGCTGTGGCTCATTCCAGAAGCTGAACTCGAGGAGCATCTGGTTTCTCCTGGACAGCAGCATTTGGCTCCGCTCCTTTCGGAACTCCAGGTACTCCTGTGGGCATGGCGGTCTGAGCATGGCAGCCTCAGCACAAGGCTGGGCTTGAACCAATATACAGAGGTTTGCCGAGTGAACACCAACATACCTTGTTGCTTTTGAGCTTGTTCATGCAGTCCATGAGGGCTGGGTAGCCACCTGAGAATCGCCATAGGTGCACTGTTTGGGGTGAGAGGTACAGGTCAGCAGGCCATTTAGATCCCTGACCTGCTTACCCCAAGGCTGGCTCAGTGTGCATGTAAGGGGGTGGTCTCCAGCCTGGTTCTCTGTAGCACCAGCACTTTCTCTGAATTCCCTTTGCCTTGGTAGGTGGCAGTGCTGGGCAGGGAATGACTCCAGACACAAGCCCAGAAGACCCAGGTTTAGCTCTACCTCTGTCAGGGGCCCTTTGACCCCTCTAGACTTCGATGTCCTCATCCTGAAAAGGACAACAATGCTCCCACCCCAAATTCCTCGAACAGCAACAAGAGCATCAGATGTGAACTTGTACCCAAGGAGCAGCGGCACACTTAAAGCCAGGCCTGTGAGATGGGCTGGACAAAAGGAGTGGGTAGGTCTGATGGGCTGAGATGGACTATTCCAAGACAGTTAATTTAAAAAGAAACCAAGGAACTAAATTGTATGCTACCACATGTGTTTAGGGGTGGAGGGACATCTCCAGAGATGCTGGTCTATGCACCACCTCATGTTGGAGACTCAAGAGATTGTGACAGGAGATGCCCCCTGGGGCAGAGAACTGAGGCCTGGGGATCGCAGGCAGGAAGGACGCTTACTTTTCACTGAAAACTCTTATACTGTTTGAAAATATCATAGCCTCTGTACAGGGTTAAATAGTGTCGTCCCCCCCCCACCCCCCAACACACACCAAATTCATTCCTAACCAGAAACTCATAGAATATGAATGACTTTATTTGGAAAGAGGGTCTTTGTAGATGTAATCAAGCTAAGAGGAAGTCATACTGGGTGGGCCAGCAATTCAATAAATGGTGTCCTCCTAAGAAGAGGGAGATTTAGGGCTGGTCTAGTGGCGCATTGGTTAGGAGTTAGCTTGGGAAGCCAGCTCTGAGCAGCAGGGCCCTGGTTCGGATCTCACATTGAGGGCCAGTGACGCTGCACCCTCCACAGCTAAGATGGTGAACAACAGCTCGACCTGCAGCTGGGTTGCCTGAGTCGCTGACGACAGCATAGGCTGCAGTGGAGCTGGCCGGCAGTTGGCGTGCGCTTTCAGGAGCTGCCGTGAGCGGCCGTCCAACGGCCGGCGAGCGACTGCCTCACCCGGGAAGAGCGCAATGATAGCATGATAATACCAACATGGGCCAGTGAAGTGAGGTCTTCCACAATTAGACTGAAGAACAAAAGGATAGCAACTTGTCTGTTCCCCTTCCCCGATTCCCCAACGCTGTTCCCCTCCCCCAATTCCCCAATAAAATCTCTAAAAAAAAGAAGAGGAAGATTTGGACACAGGCACAGAGAGGACACAATATGAGGACAGAGACACAGAGGGAGAATGCTATGCGCCTAAGTAGGCAGAGATTGGAGTGATACATTACAAGCCAAAGAATGCCATGGATTTCCAGCAATCGCCAGAAGCTGGAAAAGGCAAGAAAAGATTCTCCCTACAGATTTTAGAGGGGGCGTGGCCCTGTCTACACCCTGATTTCAGACTTCTGGGCTGCAGAACTTGACAGAATAGATTTCTGTTGTTGTAAGCCACCCAGTGGTTGGTATGTTGTAACAGCAGCCCTAGGAAACTAATACACCTTGCAATCAATAAAAAAGAAACCGTTACTGTAGAAGAAAGGACAGTCTTGCCATCCCTGGGAGTACCACTAAGACAAAGAGGAAAGTCTCCAAAGGATCAATCGGGCAGGCTAGAGCTTAGGGCGGTTGGCTAACCAACAGTTGGGAAGCTCAGACTCTTGTTACTTCCCATCCCCAGCCTATACCTCACCTGCCTTTTGACTCCATTTATACCTTGGTTTTCCCACCTGAAAAAATGGTCTGACCCTGTGGTTTAAAGGCGTCTTTCCCAAGGGAAATAGCAAGAGTACCGTATGGATGGAAGTCTACCAAGTCTAGGAATGCTGACCTGTGGAAGAGGGATTAACCTGATACTGGGGGCCAATAGGGAAAAGTTACCAGCAGGGAGGGCATCCTAGCCCACAAGAGAGAGTTTTCGAACTATAATAGTGGTTGCTCGAAAACAGGGGTGGACCAACTTTTGAGATGGAAGAGCCACCAGGGGTCAGCAAACTGCGGCTCGCGAGCCACATGTGGCTCTTTATGTACATGTGGCTCTGAAGTAAAATTGAAAATGAAAATAAAACTATCATAGTTTCATTTATAAAAATTTTAAAGGACATTATTTACATAATAGTGATTATGTAAACATATATTTATGGCTCTCAAATAATTTTTAAATTGTCGTGAGGGACAGGATTGGTTCTTCCAGGGGTCGGCAAACTTTTGAGGTGGAACGTTCCCGAACGGCTTGCAAGCCAACCCCAGCTCTAGAAGATGGACCAGCAGTTCTTACAAATTCATTCAAATGTAGATTTCTGAGCCCTGCTCCTAGGGGATGGCTCAGAGGGTCTGCTCCTCAGATGATACTACATGGCAGACAACACCTCAAGATATACAAAATGTAGGACATGCTTTAAAACTTCAGGATCCCATTCCTCAAAGTTCATTTCCCAACTAGCAAACACTTAGGAGAATCCAAGGAGTGCTGCTGGAGCTGATTTAGTTGTGCCTAAAATGGGAAAACTGTAGGGGCTATAACTGAAGACAGTGTACTTTTATCTGCCTTTTAATGTGTCAATGACTTTTACTGAAATGGAATAATGATTAAGAGACTCTATCTACAGATCATAGATTAAAAAACCAAAAAAAAAAACCCACATACAATTATCAGGGCTGTCAAAGGATAAAATAGGTGGTTTGTGACATAGTGAGCTCCCGATGCTGGGAGTATTCAAGGGAAGCTTAGAGGACCCTCTATCAGGACTGCCCCAGAGGAGCCCTGTGCTGTGCAGAGTCTAAACCAGCACAAAAGGACTTTTTACTAGGATGGAAATGTTTTATAGCTGTGGTGTCCAACATGGTAGCCATGGGCCATATGTCTATCAATGGGCAATTGAACTGTGGCTAGTGTGACTGGAGAACTGAATTTTTCATTTCATTTCATTTTACGTAATTTAAATAGCTGCATGTGGTTAATGGCTGCCTTGCTGGACAGCGCAGATATAAATTTCAAGGCCCCTTGGAGTGGCTGAGATGCTGTGAGTCAACCTAATTCATGTGTGGGTCCTAGAGCTGGTGCCAATTGAGGTGGGTGAGTTGGGGTGGGATGGGGCATGCTGGGGGTAAGGAACCAGCTCAGACAAGAGCACCTATTTATTGCACAAATACGTGCTGCATACTGCGGATTCGATGGTGCGAGAAAGACAGGCAGGGGCCCTGCCCTCCCAGAACTCACATCTACATGGGGAGACACGAAAGTACACTACAGGGTGCGTGATCAGGGCTGTGAAGAGGCAAATCCAGGGGGTTGGGGAGCCAGGGGAGGTGCCTGACCCCGCTCGGGTGGAAGGGATGGGGAAGCTTCCAGGAGGAGTTGATGTCTATGCCAAAATAAAAGATGAGTAGAGGACTGAGCCAGGTAAAATGGGCAAGAGAGAAAGACTGCTTCAGGCAGAGGAAACAGCATGAGCAACAGTGTGAAACTAGAGGGTGAAACCGTTGATCTGAAGAACTGAAAAAAGTTGTGGGTGGGACAGCACAGTAAGCAAGGAGGATGTGGTGAGATGAGGCCAGAGGCTGGGCAGGGAAGGACTCGCAGAGCCTCATGGGCCATCCCAAAGGCAGAGAGGAGCCACCATAGGTGTTTGAGCAGGGGAGTGAGTTGATGAGGACTGCATTTAGAAAGACCCTTCTGGGTGCTGCTGTGGAGTGGGTGTGGAGGGCAGCCAGGTGTGAGAGGTGCTGGGGGCCTGATCTGGCTGCCAATGGCGCTGGAGAGGTGGGCATCTCACCTGCCTGGTCCTGCTCCCCGTACCATGTGTTCCAGTTGCCCACAAGCGAGCAGGGGTAGTCCTCATCCAGGTGCAGCTTGGGTAGCACAGCCTCCCTGTGGGAGGGGCACAGAGAGGGGGGAGGGCTCACACCAGCCACCAGGGTCCCTGAGATAAGGGTTCCAACTCAGGCCCTTAGGGTTGGGTGTCAGTCTCTCCATCTCTAAGATGCAGAGGCTGTACAAGACATCCTTAGGATTTCCGGCTCTGAAATCTACATCCCTGGATTTCTGGGGAATAAGGAGAATAAGGTTTGGATATAGTCCCCACCCAAACTGACACTGAAACAGGTAGATGGAGGAAGATGCTCACGTCAGGCTGTTGTAGGCATCCAGACACTCAGGCTTCACATTGTGAACTGCAATAGAGGACAGAGAGCGGGAGGTGAAGCAGGGGGTGTTTGTGTCTGCAGGGAGCTGGGGGTGGGGGGATGGGATGAGAGCCCTACAGAGCCAGGGCACCCAGGACAGCTCCTATCATCCCCCAACTGGAGCCTTGCAGACCCCCAGAGGCTCCAGGAGGGTGAGCTGGCTGGCTCAGTAGTCACTCACACTGGATCTTGTAGAGGCTGCTGGTCTCCTTCTTGGATAGCAGGGTGGAGTGGGCGTCCTTCCGGGGATCCACCTTGTGCACAAAGAGAGAACGGAACCAGCTGCCTTCATTGTCCTTGGAATAGAACCTGCAGGACAAAGGAATTTAGGGGGACATGAGGGGTCAGGGGAGCTTCGGCCCTTTCATTTGTTCAGACGCTTGCTCCCCAAGGCTGGTAACCCACATTTCTGGGAATGGGGTCATGGAATTCCATGACAGCTCCAGAATGTAACATGTCATTGGAGCCAGCTGAGCAGACCTGGTCCTTTTTACGGAGATCCTGGCTGCCCAGTTTCTTGAAGCTTTGCAGGGCCTCAGACAAGAGAGGCAGCCCCACCTCCCCTCTCTCTCCAGCCTCCCTGCCTCCACTTCATCCCTTTCCAAGAGGCAAACTAAACCCAAACCCACCTTGCCAGATGTCCAACACCCTTGACAGCCCAACCTATATTGTCAGCCTCCTCTTCTGTGTGCCCAAGTGTGTACCCCACTCTCCAGTTATGCTCCTCCTCGAACACAACAGCCTCTTTTACTGTGCTTTATTTTTTAGCAAGTTCTGTCCCAGCTGATGAGAATGCTACACTCTGTCCTTCCTAGTGCTCACACTACACGTGGCCTCTGCCCCTTCCCAGGCCCCACAAACGGAGAGCCAAAGACAAATAAACTTAGTGCCTTAAGGATGTCACCGTCTTCTAGAAGAAATGAGCCTTGGAACACAATTACTGCTGGAGGTCTCTGGGAGAGCCCAGGTAAGCCAACCTGATCTCAGCCTCTGGCAATCTGGGCAGGCTCTCCAGAGGAGGTGATCTTGCCAGTCTCCAAATCTCCAGGGCTGATTTGGCAGATAGAGGGGGTAAAAGGCATTGCAAGGCAAGATTCACTCATTCGTCCAACCAGTCAACACTTAATTGACAAATATCTGCTCTGTGCACCTTGCCAGGGTGCTGGCTCCCTGTGAGAAAGAATGAATGATGTGCCTTGTTCAGAGCACAGGGACCTGCCACCAGGTCCTGCCAGACCATAACTGCACAAGAGATCCCAGCAGCTTCTGGCCAGGCCTGAAAAGCAAGTCTCCCACTGAATGATTTCTCCCCTGGGAGCCTGGTAATGGAGGCCCCATCAGCAAGTACTCTATTTTTTACGAGCCTTTTCTGTGGGTAAAATAAATGTCTTGCAAATTCAAAGTGTTACATTGTTTTCCAAAATATGGAGCAGCCACTGGGACTGATGAAATTTTAAAAAGCGTCTTAAAAGTGGGGATGCCTTTGTATGAGCACAGGGAGAGATGAGTATCCCAAACTGTTCACACTGTTTACCAAGGAGAGGGGTGAGGGAGATGGTTAAATTTTTTCTTTTTTCATTATAATTTTTTGTAAAGCCAAAAAAAAAAAGTTTTCTAATTGTTTCTGAATACATAGTGCATGTCATCTTGCATGTAAATATTTGCTTCATTAGCAAAAACCAGGGCAGCCGGCTGGCTCAGTTGGTTAGATCGTGTGCTCTGAACAAGGTTACCAGGTCAATTCCTGTATGGGATGGTGGGCTGCACTCCACGCCTCTCCCCACCCCCCCGGAACTAGATTGAAAATGGTGACTGGACTTGAAGCTGAGCTGTGCCCTCCACAACTAGATTGAAACGATGACTTGATTTGGAGCTAATGAGTCCTGGAAAAGTACACAGTTACCCAATAAAATAAAATAAAAAAAAACAAAACCCAAAACCCAAAAACCAAAAAGACAATTATCATCAGATGGGCGGTGTGGTCTGGGAAAATTCCAGACCAGAATAAGGGAGCCTTGCTATAGATAACATGCGCTGAGGACATCTTCTGTCAGGGATTTGAGATCAACTTTTCAGTAGCATGATCCCGCTGAAGCTATGTAACGATATTACAATGTTGATCCCATTAGTGTCCCCATTTTCAAGATGAGAAAATAGAAGGTAAGGAAGTTTAAGGAACTTGCCCAAGGTCACATAGCAAGTCAGGGGCAGAGCTCAGGTAAGAACCAACCCGGAGCTCTTTCCTTTAAAGTCAGGCACCAACCTGGGGAGCACAAAGCAGATACTATGAGGGCGGGCCTAGTGGCTCAGTTGGTTAAGAGCTTGCTCAAGAGTGTGAGCTCTGAGCAACAGGGTCACCGGTTTGATTCCCACATGGGCCAGTAAGCTGTGCCCAAGCTGAGCTGCCGACGGGTGGCAGGATGGATCACCGGGTGAGAGCACGTACTCCTAACAAGGTTGCCTGTTCAAGATGGTGGGCTGCGCCTGCCCACAACTAAAGACTGAACTAGGCACCTTGAGCTGAGCTGCCGCCCAGGTGGCTTAGTGGATAGAGCATGCACTCTTAACAACAAGGCTGCTGGTTCGACTCCCACATGGGATGGTGGCTACGCCCACCCACAACTAATTGAACACAGCACCTTGAGCAGAGTGGCGTGCTGGATTTGGAGCTGAGCTTTCTGCACCCTCTATGGCTGGGATAAAAGGGCAACAGCCAAGGGTAACAGCTTGGCTGTTCCCCTTCCCCAATTCCCCAATAAAATCTTTAAAAACAAACAAAAAACAAAAAAACAAAGCAGATACTATGAAAAAAACAGGTGTTTTTAACAAAGCCACTAGCAGAGGGACCTGACCTTCGGTTTGAATGTAGAGTAGATGCTTCCTCTGGAAGGGGTGGTGGCAGGGAGAAGAACAGCTCCTATGATTTGTCAACCAAGACCTTTGCTCCAGAACTGGACTTCAAGTAATTTATTAACATCAGCCCTCACCAACACAAACAGCTAAGTGGCCAGTCCGAGAGAAGACAGCCTGGGGCTGGAGTGCTGGAGCGTGGTCGAGGAGCTCTGATGGGCTCCCATGTCTATCACTCTCTTTCCTGCTTATAAGCTTCAGTTTCCCCATGTGTCAAACAAGCAAGGTGGGACAGCTTATCTCTAATGATCTTTTCCGTAGTTATTAATAAAACCCATGAAGGGACCTGTCCAAGACCCCAGGGCAGGGTTTGAACTAGAAGCCAACATCCTTAGGCTCACATTTTCAAGAGTTTGAATATTTTCTCGGTGAAATCAAAAGATTCTTACTTACCTTTGAACTCCCCAAGCCCTCTCACCCTGCTCTCTATTTTTTGGTAGCTCCTAACACATTATACCGTTTCTTTTCTTTTTTTGTTTGCTTATTACATGCTTTATTTTCTCCCCACTAGAAGCACCCCTGCACGGACTGGGATGTAGTCTGTTCTGTGTATCCCTGTCGTCTCCCCAGTGCCTGGAACAGTGCCTGGCCTGGCACATGGCACATGCTCAGTCCACATTTGAGAAATGAAAGGAGTTGGGGGGCAGGAAGATGGTGAAAGCTGGAAGGTAAGAAAGGAAAGAAAGGGTGGATTTTTGCTCAAAGCATAGACTTGGGGCTCAGGGGCCCTTTCTATCCCACCACCACCAGCAGAATTAGTGCTTAAGAGCACAGGTTCTAGACAGACTTGGGTTCTAATCCCAGCTCAGCTTCATATCCCTGAGCCTCATATTCCCCACCAGTAAAGTAGGGGCCAGGGGATGGGCCTTTTAGAGAGCCTGACGTGGCAGTGGCAGCTAATATCACTGTTCCTACTAAATTTCCTAACTGATCTCCAGGCTCCCACCCTTTCACCATTTTTCCTAACCTGCCCATCGATCTTTGTAAAGCACCATTTTTGTGATGCTATTCCTCTGTTCAAGTCTTCTATGGCTCCCTAATACCTACAGAACACAAGCTGGATGTCTCTACTTGGGATTCTAGCCCTCATCTACTTTGCCAAGCTTTCCAGAGCCAATTCCCTTTTAAATTTGGTAATCACAGAGCCAGCATTCTCCAGTCCAGTGGTTCTCAGACCCACAGTGTTAGTGTCACCTGAGAAATTCTCAGGCCCCATCCCAGACTTATTGCAACAGACATTCTGGGGATGGGCCTAGCAATATGGGTTTTAACAAGCCCACTCGGGGATTCTGATGCTCACTCAAGTTTGAGAATCACTGCTCTAGAGTAGTTCCAATTTATTATTTTTTTTCACGTAATCTCAGTAAAGCATCCCATCCCAGAAATGCCAAAAATTCTGTTATCTAAACTATTAAGAATGCCCCTTAGGGCTGGCCAAGTGGCGTGTTGGTTAAGAGCTGGCTTGGGACGCCAGAGGGCCCCGGTTCGGATCCCACATATGAGGGCCAGTGACACTGCCCTCCACAGCTAAGA